GGGCTCGGCCCCGTCTGCGGGCGCGGCGGTGGTTTCTGCGGGCGGGAAGCTGCGGCTCCCCCCGGCCCCCCGTCCCCGGGGGAGAAGGGGGGGGGAGGCGGGCTCGGCGGCCGGGGTTGGCGGGCTGCCGTCGCCTGGGCCGGGCCGGGCCGCTGCAAGGCGCCCGCGGGCTCCCGTGAGAGGCTGGCGTGCCCCGCCGTCCGGCACAGGGCAAAGCTGGGCGGTAGCAGGGGGACGGAGGGGAAGACAGAAAGGGTAGAGGGTTTGGGTTGGGTTGGCTCGGTTTTTTTTCTTTTTTTTTCCCCAGTTCCTATGTTAGAGAATAAAGCCCTGATTTTGGGCCCCTCCCCTCGGTCCTCAATACCTTTCTGTCTGCTGTTTCTGTGGAGGGTGACTGACATTGAGGCTGGTTGTAATCCCTTCCCCCTTGCAAGTTATCTCTTCAATTTTAAATTTAATTTTGCGGTTTTTTTTTTTAAAAAAAACAACAACAGCCCAGCTTCTACAGCTGCAGAGCTGTAGCCTGTGGTAGACTTGCACTTCAGTTGTAGCTCAATGAACTTCAGCTGATCGTTATAGCTTATCTTTACAAATTCAAGGTCAAAAGTTTTTTCTTATTAAGTCTTGCAGAAGGGAGTATCTTTCATGGAGTAGGAATTTATAGTTATCTAAGAATTTCTTCTTTGCATTTCTTCTTCCTTTGAAACTGGTTTGCTGGCTTTGATGTGAATTTAAAGGGGATGCTCAAGGATATTGCTTGGAAGGATCAAACTCTTTTGTACTAAAGATATAGTAGAAAACTTGTAACGGTTTTGTATTCCAAAGGATAAACAATTTATTAGTGTGTGAACAGCTCAGTATCTCCTTAATAGTTGAAAATAAATTTTGTAATTATGCTATATTATTCTGAGACAAAAAATGCAGAATGTTGGTTGTTTGTCATGGCAAAATCAACTGCCATTGTATTAACTACAAACGTTTCGACCAGATTACAAAGTTTTTGTTAGCACTGCTTAGTTACAGAGTTGGTGGTAACCTACTCTGGATCCTACGGACCTGAAGTCAAATAGTTTGTGAATGTTACTTTCGTGACTCAGAAGCACATCAGAAACTATGTATTTATGAAATGTGGGTTACAAATGGTAAATCGAACTACAGCACTGATCAGTCTTAATTGTGTATATACCAACACACTTAAATATATCTAAAATATTTGCCTTTCATTGACTGTAGTAAAGTACAGTAGGCATTGTAGGAAAATTGCAAGAGTGTTGGCATTGCACAATGGTCTGTTTTTTAAATCTCTCATTTAAGCTATTCTCTTACAAGTTATTTAACTCTGTTTGCACTGATAAAGTAAAAACAGTAGAACAACAAGTGGTTTGCAAAAATCCCTGCATAAGCACTTAATTTTGTCACATTTTTCTCCTAATTTTTTTCTTAGCAACTACCCTTTTTATTATTTTGAGACTAAACACAACACCTCCTTCTTGTTATTCATTTTGGATAAGCTGTGAGACACAAAGTGTCAGGGAAGATCCAAATTCCTTAATTTAGCCATACAGGCAAAGAATGAAGTAAAGCAAAGAACATATTAAGTAGTATTTACAGTAGGTGATGTGTCTCTGTAATTGCCTTGAGAAGACTGCTGTCTTTCATCATATTAAACGCATTTATTATATTTAGATGCAAAGTCACCTCGTTCTAACAGAGATGAAACTGAAATATGAAAATGCTTTAACTGCTGCTTGTAATAGTAAAGGGTAAGACTAAAATTTTGATTGTCATGAAACTTTCATTTGGGCCCATTAATCAAGCTTGAAATTGGCCTCTTCAGTGGATGAACACCACCAGAGTGTGATTTTTATCTTTCAGTAATACCTTTCAATGATTACTGCAAAGGGAGGAAGGTAGAGCTAAGCAGTACCCTGCTGAAAGGAATTTAGAAAATCTCTTTGGTAATTTATTTGAGCTGTTGGGAACACTTTACTTAGTTTTACGTGTTTCTGGAACAGTAATGCATAAAAACTCCACAAGCATATAATGACAACAAAAAAGAACTTTTCAGAATTGCACGCACAGACTGCGAGCAATGATTTGGGCCTAGTTACAGGCAGAAATGAGAGAGGGGAAAGAGGACTTCACTGGGCGGGAAGTGATCAAAAGTAATCGGGTATTTGGCATTTTATAATGGGGAAAAGAAACTGACAGAACTAAAATGGTTTTGAAATGTAACTTGCAAATTTTGATTTATGTTAATAAAACATTATAATGCAAACATTTTGAGATCTCTGATAGGCAAATTGAGCAAAGTATGATCTAGAAAGAAGTCAACTTTACCCCAAATATACATAAAAGATGGTTAATTTGTGAACAGTTTTTTTCCCCCCTGAGTGACTCCGATTCATTTTAGTCTGTTTTCACATGCGTTAACAAAATCTGACTTGCTGTGTAATAGTGGCTAATGCTTCTCATGCTCATTGGTGTCTGTAGCTGCTGTGGCTATTCTGAAGCAATGTGCATGCTGGCTGGCTGGCTAGCTGCTGCTACCAAGAAAAATCTGCAATAGCCAATTGCTACCTCCCTTCCCTCCATTGGACTTGGAAATGAATCTCTAAAAGCTGCCTGGTGTCTGATTTTTATGTAACTTACAGTTACTTATATAAGATTTGCTTTTTATCCTGCAGATTTCATGAATAGAAACATATTCTGAAACTTGTCTGTCTTTATGCTAGGATAGATAATTTTGCAAAATAAAATAGAAATTTCATATTCCCTGCATGCTGAATTAGATTTTTTTCTTTTTAAATCAATTTATACAAGACAGTTTTGAAAATGGCTTTGTTAGAACATGTTTTGATTGTTTAATTAGAAAATTAAGCTAGTTAGGTTGTGGATGGCAACAAACTTGTAATATTAGGTTTCTAGCTGTAGTTAGAATAGTTACAATAAAAACATAATGTTTAAGCTCCCTTTTCCAGCAGTTCAGCCCATACACAATGAATTCCTCTTGATCCCCATTGTCCTGAAGGGCACCTTAACCTCCCACAGATCCAATAGCAAGTTTGGGGGCTAACATGTCCTTGTGATTTCTTAGGGAGATAATATCAGAGTATTGTATATAGAGCGTTGTAAATATAGGTTTAGCTTCTGTTTAGTATTTGAAGTGAAATGAAAACTTCGTTTTCTTGCAGGCAAGTGGAAAGGGATCAAAAAAATTAACAATGTGAATAGGAGAAACACCCAAAAGCTAGACTATTTAGAGCTGATTGATAATATATTAAGGCTTCTCCCGTCTACTGCCTCTTACTCTTTTAACACTTCATTCATTCTATTCTTTTAACAGCAATCAGTGTAAACTACGTAGTACTCATGAGACATTACAAATCTGAAATTTTCTGGGGATACAAGCGTACCACATCTGCATTACAAATTTTTCTCCTGTAGTAGAGTCATGCCCAATTGATTTCATTGTTTTAGGTATGATTAATGATCAGACTTGTGAATGGCTGCTGGCAAAACATAGAAAACTATTTACTTAAATATTAAAGCATGTACATTCCCTGCCAAAAGTATGATAATCATACCAACTTTCCTAGCATGGAGTCACCATGTATGATTAGCTTTGTATTTACTAAGGCACAGGAGGATGCAGGAATCTGCTTCTGTAAATCTCACTAAGACTGTAAATGAGTGAAATGGTAATTCCCATTGACTTTTGCACCTGGCTTCATTTAAACCTTTCTTAAATCCTTTTGGATATGTATCTGCATCTGTAAAGTGCTCATAATTTTAGAATCTAGATTTGTATGACAAATGTAAGTTTCAGAAGTTCCAGATGTAAAGGGTTTTCTTACGTTGATTATGGCTGCTAAACAGGGGGCTTCTTTCTTCAGCTATGCTCTGAAATGTTTTTATTTCATCAGTTTTGTGATGCATTCCTTCTTTCTGTAGAGTCAGAATTGGTTTTGTTTGTTTAGGAAAGAAAAAGAAAACATACATCTATATAGTAATATAAATATTACAGCATATATAAATAACATACACAGTGATATGCTTTGCAAGTTCCAGCCATGGTTTTGGAGGCCTGATATATTACAGGATGAAAAAAACCTTCTCCACATCAAAGAATTTCATGTGGTTGTACAATGTGAAACAAGTGGAATAAAGCAAAAAGGAAGACAAAGTAGCAAAGAGATGGCACATTCCTTCCCTCACTCCCTCAGAATGGTGATAAAGTCTTGCGAAAATTAGCAGCTTTTTTATCTCAGAGATTGTGTGCTATGTTTTACATGGCTGTGAGCTGTACTACATGTATCAGTCTGGCCTGATGAGAGTGGCAACTCCTTTGTGAAAGAGCACAGCTGAGTGTCTTTGAGGGAGATGAATGTGACTGAACTTGATGAATGTAATGTGGTATGTGCTAATGCATTGAAGAAAGATTAAAGAAAAGAAATGACAATATTATAGAAACTAATCCAAGGTAATTTATCTTCTGTTATAGTCCAAACCAGTAGTTTTGCCTTATCCCCCAGGGATTTCTCTGTGTGTTTTTTTGGTAGAGGCTTATTTTACTAGATGTTCACCTATTTAGAAAGCTATTCATTATTTTCTATTTAGAATGGGCAGGAGCTGAACTAAGAGTTGTACAAGTGGGGTGAAGGAGACTGCTAGAAGCTCAGAGCCAGTGCTTGCCATCTATCAGAAGGGCTTGAAAAAGGGTGAAAGGAAGTCAGTATGGTGATTGCAGGGGATGAGAAAGCATCATTCAGAAAGCTGAAGTCATGTCCAAGTGAGAGTTCAAAAGGACCTTTAGCCTTGGCAGATTAGAAGTAAAAGCACAAATGGGTAAGCCAAAAAGTGACTTTGAGGAGCAGGGAGGAGTGTCTGAGTAGGCATGGACTCTTCAACCTGGTAGAGAGACTGAAGGAGAGATATGATAGAAATCTGCAAAATCATGAATGGCACAGAGGAGATTGATAGCCATTGCTTTTTTTCACCATTTCTTCCAACATCAAAATGAGGGGGTGTGCAATGTAACTGAAGTCTAAAAACCAAAGTGCATAAGAGACACCCGAGGACTCCCTTTGTGTTAAAGTTTATGTGGGCTGAAGGAGTGACCGGATAAATTTGTAGAAGAGGGACCTTTTGGATATTGCTAAATACATAGAAACTGCAGGAAATAACCTGAGCTGAAAATAGTGGGAGGCCATGGGATTGTTGAGAGGGAATATCTGACATGCTGGTATATTTTAGTACTGATGTTTATGGCTGAACTTGCAGATGAAAGTGGCAACCAGTAGAAAAGTGACTGTTTATCCTATTTTCCAGTAAGGGTCAGTTACTCTGGGAATAACGTATTTGGAATAAATGCCCTTGAGTAGCTTAATCAAACAAAAAAGCACTGAAGCAAAAATGTTTAAAAAATGTGATGTCTAGTGGTTTTTGTTTTCATGCTGTCTTCCTAGGAATCTCATGATCACGTTCTTCTGGATATTCCTGTCGCTAGAGAGCAAATGAATCACTATCGAGCTGCAGCTGAAACTGCTCAAAGTGAACTTGCAGCACTTTCGGTGAAGTATGATTGTGCCCAGTCAGAGGTACATTTAAAATTCTTCCAAATCCTTCTCCAAACTTGAGCACTCTCTACAGTCCCTTTCTGCAGAGAATAGAAAGCTTGCACAGAGTCCAAAACCTCTTGCTTTTGATACAGAACTTATGTTTCTTGTAACATTCTTCTTTTTAGAATTTCTGTATGATTTTACTCTGCTTGCTTCTGTGTTCAAGAACTGATTATGAGTTTATATTTGAAAGATTTGAAGCGGTCTAGCTTATCATCATCATCTAAATGCAACTTTTTTTAATTAAACCTGAAAGTTAGGATTTCTAAATTGTGGTTGTATAAAAGTTCTGATAGATGTCTTCCTGTTGTTGCTGGTGAGTTAAGATATAATTGCCCATTCTTACCCACTTCTCCACTTTATTCAGGTTACAGCTCCACAAATTTGCTTTGCTTTCATCACCAGTGAAGTTGTATTTGAGCTAATGAGGTTGATTGTAACTAGAGAGGCTGCAGAACACACACACGTCCTTTTCTGCTGCTTGGATGGTACTTCTCAGGACAGAGGATTTATTAGAGGGGATAATTTTTAGAATTTCTGTATTTTCACATGTAATTTTTTTTCTTTAACACATGAGTGACTAAGGTTGGTTTGATCCAATTCAGCAATGAGGGTAGTGGTCAGTTGTAAAATGGAGTTGAATTTGCCTTTAGGAGACATGAAATGCTTACCTTTATTTACATACATAGATTTAGGTGTATATATTCATAAATATGCATAGATACATAAAGTGCAATAGAAACTTGTGAACATTCATCCAACTAGTTGTTTAAACACTTGTAAAATGTACAAATGTGTATTTCTATTGCAGATTGTAAAGTGCTTTGTGATATACTTGCATAGCACTTGAACATTAAAAAAGGCTCTATCAATGAAATAAAATTTCTTTAATTGTGGATAGCTGAATATGGGGAACAGCAAAAACATGTATTACTATAGGAGAATGAATTGTTAATACAATATCCAGCCAGAACTACAGGGATAAGTGTCTATCGGCTGAGCTTGAATTTGACCAGTTGATCCTGAAATTACTACAGAGTTCCCCTACATTTAATGGCTATCCAGGATCAGTACTTTAAATTTCAATTTTAAAAAGCCATACATAATCTCATGTTCTCATAGAAAGAATTTATTACTGGAAATGTTGAATGGCTTTATTGCCAGCATGACTGACTGATTTATAGATTCTTTCAGCACTGTGCTTGCAAAAGCAAAAGAATAGTCAAGAAAGCAGCTGTTCATGCTCTTGTTAATAAAGACCTTCATGACCCAGCTGAGGTCAGAGCACTGTTCTGCCGAGTACTCTGCAAAACTCATGATATGGGATTATTCTTGCTTTTTCTGCTGTTGGAACTGACCACAAAGACAATGGACAGAGGAAAAAATATCACATTTTGCAGATGGGGAGTTGAACCACAGAGAAATTTTAAGGTTATGAACACTTTAAGCTACCATAGCTTGGTCCAGCTGCCAAGCAAAGCAATCCTATTGTTCCTTCAGCTGCTCATTTCCTTCCCCACACTGCCCCATCCCTTGTGCTGGCACAGATGTATGTGTAGTTTTACCATGCGCTGTTTTGTTGGGGAACTGATGCAATTGAAAAAGAAAGCCTTTCCTTCTGAGTTGTTTTTTAGCCAGATCAGTTTCTCAATCTTACTTCACCTTGTAGCCATGTAAGTGCTTCTGCTAGCACAGAGAAGAGGGTGGAGTGTGGAAATGAAGCCAGTGAGCCTGGGAAAAGGCAGAGCTGCTTTTCTCAAAATCAGTGTGGCTTTATGTCAGCTCCAAAGTGTCTCATAAACCAGCACTTGCAGGTGAAGCATAAGCTCATCAGAGACTATGCTGCTGCTGGAAAAGTGATCCTCACACAGTGTTAGCCTTTTCTCTGTGACATGGCCAGCTCCCCTTCCTCTTCCTCTTCCTCTGTAGAAAGCGAATTCTCTTCTATCAGCTGTGTTAGTTAAGTTGTTTGTGGAGGAGTCAGATAAATACCAGAGCTGGTGCAGGGGAGAGATCAGGCATGCATGGCCGGGAGCAGGAGAAGCAGGCCCTCTCTTTTCCAAGGCAGTCGCCGTGCAGTCGGCTCACCAGCCTCCTGGAATTCCTCCGAGTAGCTTGGGTCTTGGTCACACTGGAAGCCTCTGGCAGAGCGGTAATTTCCTAACGTCCTGAATTGCAGCTTAATGTCTTAAATATTTATTGCCTCAAAACCTTTGCCACAAGTTAAAAGCCCTAGCACATGTCATAAAGAGCAGTTAATGTGGCTTAATCATTTTCCTATTAATTTTACGTAGTAGGAGATAAATGCTTCAGAATGCATCTTGCTGCTTATAATTGGAATTGTCAGGAAAGCTGGAACATGCCTTAACACTTCTTGTGACAAAAAAAATCCACTTAAAATTACTTGTTCCTTTTAACAAAATAAAACACACTGAAATTTTATGTGCCTGGTGTGTCTGCCTCAAGCTCAGTCTTTTAGAGAAGCTTGTAGCAGAAATAATTCAAAGGAAAATGGTATTTTTAGTTAAAAGAGAGAGGAAAGTAAAGAAAAACAACTGAACTCCATGAACTGTTGGGAAGCTCTAGCATCATTTCTGGAACAGGTCCTTGACATTTGGTGGTGATGTGCCTTCTCCCACCCTTAAAAGTCTCTCTTGCTGTTTCTGTGTAAATCCAGCTACACTTGATTGGATTATCAGACCAAAAAAATAACATTTTGCATAAGATGAGAAGAGGTTGCCTACAGCACAACTCTCCAAAAATTTCTTTGCTTCTGAATATGCTGCAAATCATCAAAAGGCTCCACCCTCATACAACAGGATACTTTGCTGTCACAACTCCCTGCAGCTATAGAATATCTGTGGAATTGTGCACCAGAATTGAGGGCAGGGAGAAGGCAGGCAAAAAAGAGGGAATAGTGGTGTCAATAACTGTATTGTGATGCAGATGCATACGGGAGGTGAGCTAAGGTTCCGCAGCAGAACTTAAGGTGAACTTTTCCTAAATTCTGAATTTGTAAATAAATTTATCTTCCTGTAAGAGAGTATCTTGAAAAGTTGTATTGCATTACACAACAGCAGCTTTTGTTTTTACAAACCTCTTCCATTGCTTTTTCCTAGTTATATGAAAATAAAGTTGTATCCCTCCACTTGGTCTTATAGTGATAGAAGACTCTGGGTCTTTTGTTCCAAAATGTGTTTCTTGTCACGTTACTAAACTTGTAGTGCAGGCACATATTTCAGCCTGGGCAAAGTTGTTATTCCTTTTTTTAATGAATTTACTCCTTTTCTATCTATAGCTTCTTGAACTCAGGTCCAGAATGGTCTCTAAAGAAGCCTCTTTTCAAGAGCTGAAGGCTGAAGCTGAAAGTTACAAGGAAAACAATGCTAGACAGATGTCTCGCCTCCTGTCTTTGCAAACCCGAATTCAGGAGATGGAGGAAGAGATGTGTGTGCTCACCACTTCTAAAAACCAGGCTGAACTGACAGCTCAGGTGTCATTCAAGGAAAACTGGGAGCTGAAGGAGGAGCTTCATGAGCAAAATGCCAAACTTAAGTAAGATTCATGCGAGATGAGAATTTTTGTTTGGGATGACAGAATGATGCAGTTGTCAATGAAAAAAAATATTTTGGTGGACAGACTTTATTGCAGATCTGAATTCTGTTACAATGCTTTGCACAGCCATTGTACCCGAGTGTGTGGAAGGTATTGAAATTTGAATTTTGGTTTGAGTTGTTAGCCCATAAATGGGGTTTTGAGTTGTCCTTCAGAGGAGAAATGATGATATGAGTCACCTTGGTGTGTAACCTCGTTGTTTACAAAAAATGAGTACAGAGGGCTGTTTGTCTGAACACAGTAGAAATGATAGGTATGGTTTCCTCATTCAAGTATTTCCATGTATGGCACCGAGGCAAACTTCATGCCTTTCACAGCATGCTTGTGATAGGTAGTACCTGCAACTACAGTCTAGTGCCCTGATCTATCCTTATCACATGGCATCTTTTGCAGACATTTACCTGTCACTTGACATGCTGCATGGGCTGTGCAGTGGTGAGTGACTGTGCTGCTGCACCACTTGTCTCTTTTTCCCCTCTTCTGTGTCACAGCTGGAACTGGAACAGTGTCAAGTGAAATTCAGTCTGTTAGGAGCAGTGTAATAAAGAAAATATGGTATAATTCCTAGTTAGTAGCATCCTGAAGGAAGCATGTTAATGTTTGGTTAATGTTTGTTCAGCTTTCAGTAATGTTAGCTTTCTTCTGGACATTGCTGTGGAGGGGAGTTTTGGTGGGTTTTTTTGTGTTTTTTTTTTTAATGTGCATATTGATTGGATAAAACTTTTAATAAAAGATAGTGTCCTTAACTATACTGTTCTCAGCATAGTGTGTCAGACCACTGATCTCTCAGTTCTGCATAACTGCTAATATTTCAGGTCTGTGGGATGGAGGCTAATAGCAATGTTGATCACAAGTAAAATTGATTGGTGTGAAAATATTCTGAACTTTAAAATTCCAAAATCAGTGTCAGTCATATTATATTAATAGACACCTTGTAGACTTTTATAATGGATTTTTTCCCACCATTACAAGGCTAATATCCATGTCTCTCTCAATACTGCCTAGTTAAGAGCAAGGTGAGTGTTTACCAGATGTCTGTATTTCCCAAATCAGTATTTTGCACAGCTCTTCCAGGCTTTGTGCATTAGAAATGGATAATTAAGTTATTTTAAAATCTAGAGAAATCCATTGCAGTGCATTTGTCTATTACCAGCTGATTTGCCAGAATGCCTGCCTGGAGAGTGTTAATGTTGATCACCAAAGATTTTGGATACGATCCAAATATAAGTGAGGAGATAGTTAAGCCAAAAAGTGTATTATGCATCCTAGCAACATAGAAAACATGAGTCTCTGACATAATGGTTGTTAAGATTCTTTAAAGTGCTACTTCTGGGGGAGAAAATAAAAGGAAGAAAAACCTCTTATCCTGTTTGCCTGACTCACTGGGAAAAAAACTGCCAAAATACTGTGTAACAATGTTAGTATGATACAGTGATATGATCAATTTTATGTGGCATAAATCTGTGCTGTGACTCCCAGTGCGGTCCTGGCTGCTCTGTTTTGCCCATGACACTTGTGTCAGCACTTCTGTTTGTGTTGCTGCATGGTGACTGGGACCAGGGAACTGCTCCAAGAGAGAATTGAGCAAAATAAAAAGCTTAATTTCTGGCTCTACCAATGCCAGGTCTGGTTCACTGTGCACCTGGAGTGTACCACTACAGTGCTGGCAAAAGGGAAGGGACAAAGGGAGGGTGTCTGCTCTTTTGGAAGGAACAAACGTGTTGGATTGTTTGTGAATCTACAGTGTATGTTTTCAAAGTTTTTTTCTCATCCTCAGCTAATGGTTACCCGTGCCACTAAACACTAGTCAATGTATTGACTTAATGAGCTTTAGTTGCTTGGTCTGGCCACCTTAGTAGTACATGGCACATGAGTAGTCCTAATTAGGTATTCAAGAAGGATTTTCACTGAAAACCACTAATAAAAGGGAAGAGCAAGCCAGTAGGCATGAAATGCACATTTACATTCTATACCTAGGGATGTAGTAAAAAATGTTTAACGAATTCTGTGATTGACTTCCAGATGTATACCTCTCCTATTGCAAATGGTGCTTTTCTACTCAACTGGTCTATTGCCAAAGTATTTTTAGAACCTGAACTCTGAAAAGTTTTTTTTTTTCTTCTTTTTCCTCCTCTTCTCTTTGCTCATTAGTTCTGAAGAGCTAGCAAAACTGTGCAAGAGCTGCGTTCTACTTTTTTGTACGTGATTGCCTATTTTCTAGGTGCTCACACCTTTATGGCCTTACTAGGTAATTGGGTTATTCACAGAGTTGTCAAGTATGTGCTTTGTACTTCAGATTGTTTATTTTTAGAAGCAGGCACAGGTTTGTGTGTGATGTGCCTTGATTTTTCAGAGCCACAGAACAGTTTGAGGGGTTGGTGGTCAATCTCATACAATATTCTAACATACAGGAATGCATGCATGACATGTCTGGAGTCTTATACCTTTTCACTTCTGACATACCCCTCCTCAGGACAGCAGTTTAGCGACCATCTCACAGTTTAGTTTTGCTGGGGCTATAGAGGAGACGAAGGTGCCCAGAGGTGAGGAAGCTGTGAGGCACTTGTTTTCTGAGGGCCAGTGCCTGCTGCAGAAGGCAGACCTCTTTTGGTTCATGGCGTGTGCTGTGCAATAGTACATGGAACTGTCCTCATCCTGTCCAGAGCATTAATTAATATTTTCCATTCTCTGTTATTGTTCCTATCTCTTCCACTTCGCAGCATTGATAACAACTGCGCAGATCTCCTTCCTAAGGCAACATCTTGAAGTTTTTCATGGACCATCTCTTTTGCTTAGTGATTTATAACCATTTAACGTACTGTATTTGCACTCACTGTGTGTTTCCTATAGGAAACTCATGCTGCTTTTTGATTATGGAGTGATGCTCTGTTTCCTGTTTGAATGGCAACCTAGAGAGGAAGAGATCAGAAATGGAAAAGAATGAGTCCAGAAATGACTAGCATGCCGACATTAAAAACTGAGAGTAGTGCTATGCTCTGATAAGCTAATGAGTTTCAATAAAGTATTTGCTCTAGACAGCTGTTTGGTGATACCTTACATCTCATTTTATTCTAGTGTTCAGATCCTTGTGAGGACCTTGCTTTAGAAAGTACCTTTTTTCTCAACTGAAAGCCTAATAGTTTTGTCTCCTGTACTCTACCACTGAGTACCTCTCTCATGGGTATTATCTGAGAGGTACTGGAGTTGATATTTGGATTACACTAATGGCCATTTTGAGCTTTGTTTGGTTGCCTATTTCTGTTAATCTCTTTCTTTGTAGTTTTTCAGAAGTAATGCTCAGCATTGCAACATCATGAGCAAGATTTGAATCTATGTGTTTGCTACCTATGCAGACTGTGGCAATGCTTATTTGCTGGACTTGTCTTTGACCCTGGCAACAGGAAGGATGTAACCACATTTATGCCAATGAGTTAAACTGACCGCTCTATTATTTGGTTGTTCATTCTTATAGAGCATTTACAAACTGATACCTGCTGTTAAGGCTGATAATAGATGTTTTGTGTGGAATATGTATCTGCATGATAGGCACCTTTTGAGAGTGATGAAACTGATGAAAAAAAGCTGCCTTTTCTTCATACTTTTGTGGTAGTCCCTTGATATTTTCTTTTTTAATTGATCCCTTTCATGGGTAGTGTTACACTGCAGAAGCCTGTATGTACAGCAAAGTAGTGTCTCCCATCTCTGTTTGCTTCTGCTGGTAAACTTCCCTTCACAGGTACTCTGGGTGTCCTACACTTCCATTAGTCCAGAGGGGCTTCTCTTTCCCCAGAGTCTGTTGATCAGCACTGTCATCTTTGTTAGAGAGGGGATATGAAGTGCTTTTAGCATATTTTTACTATAATTTCATCACTCTCTTCCCCCTTACTTTTTCTAAACTTTTGCTTGCAGCCTCCATTTCTAGTATCTTGAGGGCACTGCTTATTGATGTCACCTGGTTCTTGTGTTTTACTGAAATCTTGTGCTGAGAATGAGATTGGGATCATAGAAGATCCTTTGAAGTGCTAATCAAAAGCAAAGATGAAGAAATGTTTACACATAAAGCAACAATGAAAGTTATACGTATTAAATAACAGATATAGAGAATTATATGTAACTTTTAAAATGAATTTTGTGGTATGCAGAAGCTAGCAATAATCTTGGGGTAATGTCTTTGGCCTAGAATTCTGTTTCAGAGAACATTCATCCTGATGTCTGTATTATTTTTTTTCTGTCTGATTAGTAAATATTTGAATGAGTGTGAAGAAAGCATGAGTCAAGCTTCTAAAATCAGCAGAAAGTATGAAGAGTTCCTTACAGAGCTTTCTGGATTCTTGGACACAAATATCAGAGAAAAAGAGAAACCACAAGAGCATTTAACATCAAAGGTGATTATGTGTAGGCAATGGTTTCTGTATAGTGATTTAACAGAAGAATATTTGGTTGTCAAAGAAATAAAGCAAGTGATGAAGACTGGAATCTTTGTGTTAAGTAATGATTTGCAGACAGTGCTATCATTTAAGACAGATTTCTCTTCCATATTGGGCTGATGTTCAAAGATGCTGAACACTAATAGACCTCAGTGAACTCAGTCTGCTCTTATCTGCATAAGCATTTTATCATCCTGTAGTTCCCAAGTACAGCCGTGGTTAGATAGTTGGTTGAAAGCTTTCCTGAAAACATTAACACTGGGAGTCACTAGGTGATGTGTAAACTGTACCACTAGATCTTAACATTTATCTGGAGCCAACATACCATTAAATAGAAACATCTGAAATGGCATACCCTAGAACAACCTTAACTATGCCCTGTAACAAAATGCTGTGAATAACTGTGTGGTGTTTTTCAGACTTAATCATAAAACTGTTATTTCTCTTCAGAATACTTTTGAAGTTCCAAGAACTAAGCTTCCATTTAGGAAAGGAAAATTGTTTGTATACTCTTTTAAACTTTATTGATGATGCTGAAGGGCAATTTATCCTAATTTTGAGCATTTTTCTCATGTTCTGCCTGTTCTTTGCTATCCCTATTTTTCTTCACTTGGGAGCACACAAGGTATTTTGGGAAATTATGTTTCATTATTTTCATATTATTGTAAGAGTTCTGGCTATAAGGAATACTTAATAAATTAAGATTATCTAGGTACATATCCCAGTGATTTCTTAAAGTACTTGCCTTCATAATATTACAAGCACATTGAAACTGTAATAGATACTCTAAGAAAACTTGGCTAGTTGTTATTAGAGGCAAAGATGTTTGTATTAAGCTGTAACTCTTACATACTTTAAGTTAAGGAAGTAACTGAAGTTTAAAAAGGTATATATTGATGTCTTGTTTTAACAATGTAATACTAAATCTAGTTGGGAAATCTAATTTGTGCTGAAAACTGTGTGCATTATGAAAACTTAGCAACTCATTTTCTGTTTGGGGTCATGGCATGTCTATTTAGCTTCTTTTCCACGTTAGGGTTTTATTTAAGACAGAATTGATCTGGCTTAGTCCTAACAAACGTCTTGCCAATAAGAGTCAGGGTACATTTTTTTTACCTTATGCACTCTTTGAAGTGCCCACATTCATCTATTCCACTTCTTGGAAAAAGCGTAATGTACCAAAACAGGAATCCTCTTGGAAATGACTCCTTTTTCCAAGGTGTTGGCTGCTTAGAACAGCAGCCCACCAGGTATTTGGCCCTGCCCTTGAATATGCTTATGAGCTGTTACTAACTCAGATCTTCCCCACACCTAAAAAGTTTCAAGCATAAAATGTAGCTTTCAGTTTCTTGTTCCAACTGAGGAGCATAAATCTTAACAAGCCAAACTGAAATGGTTTGTTTTTCACATGAAGTAAGCTTTATGATCTGGTTTCATTTTCTGACCTGCTTCATGTCAAGTGCAGATATGCAGCAACAGTAGCTCTCCACTTGTTTAATAGATCGTAGAGATTGTGTGGGAGTAAATCTGAACCACGTTACACTAAGGTGTGGGTTTCTGATGGGAATATGGTTCTCATTTTAATTGTATTTTTACTCTTTTTAGAAAGGAATAGTAGAGTGCAGTTATAAATCTGACCCAGGGGTCATCAGAAAAGCCATGCCTTTATTGGGATGATTAGGAGCAGGTATACTGGGATGAATATATGTCATTGTTAAGTGCTTTAAAAAAGTTACTAATATTTGAATTATTTCTCTAGGTGTCTGAAATGTGTAAAGAAAATCTTACACTAAAAGACCAGGTTGCTGCTCTTCAAGAAGCTATCAGTGTCCATGAGATGGAGTCCAAAGCTAGTAGAGAAACTATCACAAGGCTTGTTTCAGAAGTGACCAAGGAGCAGAAAAAGGCAGCAGGATACTATCAAGGCATGGAAAAATTTAGTAAGGTACATAATTGTATGATGTGTATGTTTGTCTAGTTTTCAAATGTTTTCTCAAAATTTCAATTTTCAATAGGAGTTGTATGAGAAAAAAATGCTTCTGAAAGACTTTTGGTGATTAGGATCTTTCCTAAAAAGGACATTTCTCTAAGGTTATTCTCAACTTTCTGAAAGCTTCAGAATATATGGAGATTAAACAATAGCATTGTATAAAATATATCCGTCCTGGTTTTCTTATTCCCCGCTCCTCTGGCATTCCTTTTTTCCTGAACAGAAGACCACCACCATACACTTTAAAGGATATAGTGTTCTGATTTGGTTGTAGGCAAAATACTTAGAAGATGAGAGATAGCTGACAGTGTGCTCTGGAGAAGAAAGAATTTGTTGTAGGGAAGATAAATATTAAGTACCACAAGGGTCATAAATTTTACTTACTGCTGAAAATACTTCTTACGAAGCTGTGTAAACTTTTCTAAGACTCAAATGGGACTGAGAGAGAACCTGCACCAAAAACTTAAACAGGTCCTTTTTGAAAACATTTTGTTTGCATACTTTACTTCAAACACAGGTGTGTGAGTAAGAGCAGAGTGTAGTTTACTCACTAAGCAAGCCAGAATCAGGAGGTGTTTGAAACCAAGATGAGGGCTTCATTTGTGACTTGTTTTGCAAGTTTGCTCTGACTGCCAAAACATTTCCAAAGTTGAGCTAGTTTTGTGAAAAATACTTTCCTATCGTTATTGTGCATGTGCCAAATACATAATTTATTTAACCCATTTTACAGAAATGTCTTGCTAAATTATTAGCATTGCCTTTCAAATGAAGTGTGTGCCATCAGGGCTTATCTAGAGGCTGCAGACTCCTCCAGTGCTCTTTCAGTTTAGCTACTTAAATTTGCAGATACTGAGTAAATTTGTTAAGAAGGTTTTGTGTTCACAAAAGTGTATTAAGAAATTCAGTATTGAAAAAATAAGTAAAAAAGCAAAAATGCTTTAAATCCACATATCTACAGGAGGATGTATGGCATTCCCTGTTCCCCTGATAGGTCTCTTAGGTTACAGGAAGGGCATCAGTGGTATAAAGTCAGTTTGACTTTGTCATATACTGTGCTGCACAGTTTAAGCACATGAACAGAGTTGCACATGTTGTGACATTCCCCTGTGAAGATGAAAAGCAGAAATCCATACTGTTCCTGTGCCAGAAGACACACACATGGTGGCGTGTTTCTGGACTGTTTTCTGAGCTTTAATTAATGGAATTGCCTGTAGCAGAGTTTACCCAGCACAGACTGAGTACAAGTGACTTTTGTCTGTGTTTGCCTGAAGCTCCCAGGGCCAGATGTGTTTGCTATCTTCTGTATTATGGATTGAGATGGTGACCTGTTTCCCCCAATTTTCTCTCAAAATTCTTCATAAGTGTATAGAGGCCTTCACACTGTTCTGTCAGTCTTCTCCAGCAAGCCTCAGCTACCACACTGTTCCTTGCCACCCCTCTGAATTGCTGCCAGTTTTTCTTGCCAGGTAGTTCTTCATTCCTGCTCCTTGGGATTTCTATGAACTCCCTCTCTTGACCAGGTGCCTTTCTTCATGTCCCAGGAGGAGGCAGCTATCTATCTAATGTTCAGTTAAACAGATTGTAGATTCTGAAATTCTTGATGAAGAAAATGAAAGCCAATTGGTTAAATTTTAAGGTTAATATGTGAGGGTGATTCAGAATGTTCTTTAGTATATTTGATACTCAAGTATTTCTTGCAGTTAGCTGGTTTTCATTTGGGGACCATTAACAAGTGAATGATAATTTTATCTGTTCCCCTCTCAGCCTCAGTGCATCACAATAGCAAACAGCAAACAACAGAAACTAACGGGGTCTCAGAACTATTATAAGTAACAAAAGCAAGCCACCATTTTGTTGTAATGTATTACTTTTCTTTTAGAATTCTGAATTTCTCACATTTCTGATCAAATATTGCAAAAGCTTGCTCCTGGAGTTCTGTAACTATTGTGCATATCTTTATTCTGGCAGTGCTGGATATCAAATTTGCATTTGATGGAAAATAACTTTTAAATACTGCCCAGATTTCTAGACTGAGAATCAGAATACCTGTTTGTTCTTTCTGTATGTCCAGACAGTGATTATTGATTATGATAATCATAATTACAGAACTGTAACATTCTTTGAGAATGTCTGTAGGTCCTTGAAAAATGTCTCATTTGCTCTAACCAAGTTTCTTTCTAGTATTTAATAAATTCCTATATGGCATTTATTTAAGGTATAGAAGAAGATGCATATATTCTTCTTTCAGATGAATTTGCCTTTTGTACAGCATTGCTATTGATGAACCACAAGAACTAGTAAACTGGTTTGTTTTGTGTCACATCTTCGCTGATGATTCAACCTGGAAATATTTGTGATTCCCTCTGAAGTGTTAATTAAAACACCTGTTTTGCAAAGATGTGCACCATGCAATGTCTTTAAAGAACATAATTAAAATTCTTGATTGTATTTCAAATAATACAAATATATCTGCTGCAAACTGATGCAAAATTAACCAAGAAAATACTCTTCAGTATTCAATACTGACTTGTATTAAATTGTTATTAATGAATACAATTTATCTAAGTAGCATTTAATTAGTATAAATTTATTAAAATAATTGATTGTATGAAAACATAATTAATTAAAATATAAACTTATTATTTAAGGAAATTGACTAAACTTGAGAAGCATGCCTATGTTTTGAATACACCTAAATACTTTGTAGGAGACACAACCAAATGATTTTAGGTTTTCTTGTCCCAATAGATAAATAAAGTAATGAATTTCTTAGAACCTGGATTTTTTTTATTTTTTTTATTTTTTTTTTTTTTTGGTTTATAAGATATCAGTAAGAAAATACATATTAGGGACAATTTTCAGGAAGCATCACAAATATTTCCAGGTTGAATCATCAGACAAGATGGGAGATAAGATGAAGCTAGTTCACAGTCCTTGTGGTATGACAGTGGTAACTGGAGTTGTGGCTGGTGTAAGAACTCATCTGGAAGATAACTGCATTCTGTTTTATACCTTATTATTACTGTTAATTTAATGTGGGGCTTTTTGTATATGTATGTGTAATTCACTTGGTATATTGAGACCCTGGTGCTGATTGAGGTGCCAGTATTAATAAAATCATAGAATCATTTAGGGTGTAAAAGACCTTTAAGATCATCAAGTCCAACCATTAACCTCATGCTGCCAAGTCCACCACTAAACCATGTCCTTAAGTGTCACATCTACATGTCTTTTAAATACTTGCAGGGATGGTAACTCAACCACTTCCCTGGGCAGCCTGTTCCAATGCTTGAACAACCCTTTCAGTGAAGAAATTCTTCCTAATATCCAATCTAAACCTCCCCTGATGCAACTTGAGGCTGTTTCATCTTGTCCTATCTCTTGTTACTTGGGAGAAGAGACCGACCCCCACCTTTACTACAACCTCCTTTCAAGGTAGTTGTAGAGAGCGATAAGGTCTCCCCTCAACCTCCTCTTCTCCAGACTAAACAGCCCCAGTTTCCCCAGCTGCTCCTCATAAGACTTGTGCTCCAGGCCCCTCACCAACTTGGTTGCCCTTCTCTGGACATGCTCCAGCACCTCAATGTCTTTCCTGTAGTGAGGGGCCCAAAACTGAACACAGGACTTGAGGTGCGGCCTCACCAGTGCCCAGTACAGGGGGACGATCACTTCCCTCCTCCTGCTGGCCACACTATTTCTGATACAGGCCAGGATGCTGTTGGCCTTCTTGGCCACCTGGGCACACTGCTGGTTCATATTCAGCTGGCTGTCGACCAGCACCCCCAGGTCTTTTTCTGCCAGGCAGCTTTCCAGCCTCTCTTCCCCAAGCCTGCAGTGCTGCATGGGGTTGTTGTGACCCAAGTGCAGGACCTGGCACTTGGCCTTGTTGAACCTCATACGATTTGCCTCAGCCCATCAATCCAGCCTGTCCAGATCCCTCTGTAGAGCCTTCCTACCCTCGAGCAGATCAACCCTGTCTCCCAACTTGGTGTCATCTGCAAACTTGCTGAGGGTGCACTCCATCCCCTCGTCCAGATCATTGACAAAGATATGAAACAGAACTGGCCCCAATACTGAGCCCTGCGGAACACCACTTGTGACCCACCACCGACTGGATTTAACTCCATTCACCACAACCCTTTGGGCTCGTCCATCCAGCCAGTTTTTCACCCAGCGAAGAGTACACCTGTCCAAGCCATGAGCAGCCAGTTGCTCCAGGAGAATGCTATGGGAAATGGTGTCCAAGGCTTTATTAAAGTCTAGGTAAACAACATCCACAGGCTTTCCTGCATCCACTAAGCAGGTCACCTTGTCATAGAAGGAGATCAGGTCAGTCCAGCAGGACCTCCTTTCATAAACCCCTGCTGACTGGGCCTGATCACCTGGTAGTCCTGCACATGCCGTGTGATGGCACTCAAGATGATCTGCTCCATAACCTTCCCCGGCACTGAGGTCAGACTGACAGGCCTGTAGTTCCCTGGATCCTCCTTCTGACCCTTCTTGTCGATGGACATCACATTTGGTAACCTACAGTCCACTGGGAGCTGCCCTTTTAGCCAGGACTGCTGATAAATGATGGAAAGTGTCTTGGTGAGCCCTTCCACCAGACCCCTCAGTAGATGCCATCCAGCCCCATAGACTTGTGTGTGTTTAAGCGGTGTAGCAGGTCACTAACCATTTCCCCCTTGGATTATGGGAGCTTCATTCTGCTCCCCGTCCCTGTCTTCCAGCTCAGCGGGCTGTGTACCCTGAGAACAAGTGGTCTTACTATTAAAGACTGAGGCAAAGGTGGCCTCAGCCTTTTCCTCATCCTTTGTCACTGTTTCCCCTCGCATCCAACAATGGATTATAAGTTCAAATGCCCTTCTCTGGTCTAAAACCCCTCTCAAATTATTTAACCTAAATACTCTGCTCTTCAAAATAGATGACAGCCCAAAAGCCCAGAGTTTCCTCTA